CCCTCGCTACCGGTCCAAAATGGTGGCCTTTTTCACACCTGCTGAGAGGGAGGGCCAAAATTACGTACTATAAAAACCACCTATGTAGTCAGTTGGTCTCTGCCTTTGTGCGCCAACGTCCATCCTCAGACACTGTGGGCCCTGTGCGCTCGCGTTCCGCTGCCATGGCAGCAGGGGTGGGGGTGGGGTGGTAGGAGCAGTGGCAGCTCCACCAGCAGCGGCTGCCTCAGTCTGCACGTCGATGATGAGTAGCTTTCTTCACCAGCGCAGTGAGGAAACTACTAACCAGCCGCAGCAGCAGCAGCAGCAGCAGCATCAGGTGGACCTGGAGCAGGAGCTCAAACAACAGGCTTGGGCCTACTTGGACAGCACCCTGCCAACCGAGGTAGACAATCCCCTTGACTACTGGGCAACGAAACTTGACCTTTGGCCCCAACTAGCTGAATTTGCCCTTGAAAGGCTGTCATGCCCGGCCAGTAGCGTGGCATCGGAGCGCGTGTTTAGTGCGGCAGGAGGTATTGTAACTCCGCGGAGGACACGACTGTCCACCCAAAGTGTGGAGAGACTCACGTTTGTGAAAATGAATCAGGCGTGGATTAGTCTGGATTTCAAACCACCAGTTCCTGACACAACTGACTAAATCCGCCATGAATCATGCCTCAAACATGTGCCACTTTCAGGTCTCCTCACACACTGCTGTGTGTGTTGAATTTTTTGACATAGGGTGCTGGCAGATTCGGGCCTCCCATAGCTGCTGCCAGGCCCCTAATCTGCCATAGGCCCCTATATACCGCCTCCTCATGCTGCTGCAGGTCCAGAGTCTCTCATGGGTCCCTGTACGGCCTCCCATTGCTGCTGTCTCCATCGCCACACTCTGCCATGTGCCACTTTCAGGTCTCTTCACACTGCTGGTGTGTTGAATTTTTTGACATAGGGTGCTGGCAGATTACGGGCCTCCCATAGCTGCTGCCAGCCCCTAATCTGCCATGGGCCCCTATATACCGCCTCCTCATGCTGCTGCCAGGTCCAGAGTCTCTCATGGGTCCCTGTACGGCCTCCCATTGCTGCTGTCTCCATCGCCACACTCTGCCATGTGCCACTTTCAGGTCTCCTCACACACTGCTGGTGTGTTGAATTTTTTGACATAGGGTGCTGGCAGATTACGGGCCTCCCATAGCTGCTGCCAGGCCCCTAATCTGCCATGGGCCCCTATATATACCGCCTCCTCATGCCTGCCAGGCTGCCAGGTCCAGAGTCTCTCATGGGTCCCTGTACGGCCTCCTATTGCTGCTGTCTCCATCGCCACACTCTGCCATGTGTGCCACTTTCAGGTCTCCTCACACACTGCTGGTGTGTAGAATTTTTTGACATAGGGTGCTGGCAGATTACGGGCCTCCCATTGCTGCTGCCAGGCCCCTAATCTGCCATGGGCCCCTATATACCGCCTCCTCATGCTGCTGCCAGGTCCAGAGTCTCTCATGGGTCCCTGTACGGCCTCCTATTGCTGCTGTCTCCATCGCCACACTCTGCCATGTGCCACTTTCAGGTCTCCTCACACACTGCTGGTGTGTAGAATTTTTTGACATAGGGTGCTGGCAGATTACGGGCCTCCCATTGCTGCTGCCAGGCCCCTAATCTGCCATGGGGCCCCTATATACCGCCTCCTCATGCTGCTGCCAAGTCCAGAGTCTCTCATGGGTCCCTGTACGGCCTCCCATTGCTGCTGTCTCCATCGCCACACTCTGCCATGTGCCACTTTCAGGTCTCCTCACACACTGCTGGTGTGTAGAATTTTTTGACATAGGGTGCTGGCAGATTACGGGCCTCCCATGCTGCTGCTGCCAGGCCCCTAATCTGCCATAGGCCCCTATATACCGCCTCCTCATGCTGCTGCCAGGTCCAGAGTCTCTCATGGGTCCCTGTACGGCCTCCCATTGCTGCTGTCTCCATCGCCACACTCTGCCATGTGCCACTTTCAGGTCTCCTCACACACTGCTGTGTGTGTAGAATTTTTTGACATAGGGTGCTGGCAGATTACGGGCCTCCCATTGCTGCTGCCAGGCCACGTAATCTGCCATGGGCCCCCGTACCGACTCCTCATGCTCTGACGTTGCAACAAGGTGGAATTCAACCCTACATATGTTAGACCGCCTTTACGAACAGCGAAAGGCCATCACAGATTTCCTGATGTTAAAAGCGGATAAAGGTACTCCCTGTGTAACTTAGATGTCAGCCATTGGCAGCTCATGCGTGACACCTGCGCTTGCTCAGGCCCTTTGAGGAGGCCACGCTATTCGTGAGTCGGCAGGACTATGGGGATGAACGACGTCATTCCTCTGTTGCACGTCCTGGAACAAATGCTGTTAACAATGGCTGGTCAGGGTGCGGTAGACGTGGCGCACAGATCTCAACGCCACATGACCCCTGTGGGGGCAGGACAGGAAGAAGAGGAGGAGGTAGAGGAGGACATTGGTGCTCAGGAATTATTGAGTGAAATGGGTGGTTTTTCCACTCAGCGGACAGGAGTGGAGGAGCAGGAGCATCTGGTAGAGGAGGAGGAGGAGGAGGAGACAGAGGACCCAGACGCACCGTGGCAGTATGCTGTGGAGATGGAGGTAGGGAGTCCCTCGCATTCCTTGGCACAAATGGCCCATAGCATGCTCGCTTGCTTGCGTAGCGACAGCCGAATAATAACCATCAGACAGAGGGATGACTTTTGGCTGTCCACCTTGTTGGACCCTCGCTACCGTTCAAAAATGGTGGCCTTTTTCACACCTGCTGAGAGGGAGGCCAAAATAACGTACTATAAAAAACCACCTATGTAGTCAGCTGGTCTCTGCCTTTCTGCGCCAACGTCCATCCTCAGACACTGTGGGCCCTGTGCGCTCGCGTTCCGCTGCCATGGCAGCAGGGGAGGGGTGGGGGTGGTAGGAGCAGTGGGCAGCTCCACCAGCAGCGGCTGCCTCAGTCTGCAGTCGATGATGAGTAGCTTTCTTCACCAGCGCAGTGAGGAAACTACTAACCAGCCGCAGCAGCAGCAGCATCAGGTGGACCTGGAGCAGGACCTCAAACAACAGGCTTAGGCCTACTTGGACAGCACCCTGCCAAACCGAGGTAGACAATCCCCTTGACTACTGGGCAACGAAACTTGACCTTTGACCCCAACTAGCTGAATTTGCCCTTGAAAGGCTGTCATGCCCGGCCAGTAGCGTGGCATCGGAGCGCGTGTTTAGTGCGGCAGGAGGTATTGCAACTCCGCGGAGGACACGACTGTCCACCCAAAGTGTGGAGAGACTCACGTTTGTGAAAATGAATCAGGCGTGGATTAGTCTGGATTTCAAACCACTAGTTCCTGACACAACTGACTAAATCCGCCATGAATCATGCCCCAAACATGTGCCACTTTCAGGTCTCCTCACACACTGCTTGTGTTTTCAATTTTTTGACATAGGGTGCTGGCAGATTACGGGCCTCCCATAGCTGCTGCCAGGCCCCTAATCTGCCATGGGCCCCTATATACCGCCTCCTCATGCTGCTGCCAGGTCCAGAGTGTCTCATGCCATGTGCCACTTTCAGGTCTCCTCACACACTGCTGGTGTGTTCAATTTTTTGTCATAGGGTGCTGGCAGATTACGGGCCTCCTATAGCTGCTGCCAGGCCCCTAATCTGCCATGGGCCCCTATACCGCCTCCTCATGCTGCTGCCAGGTCCACAGTCTCTCATGGGTCCCTGTACGGCCTCCCATTGCTGCTGTCTCCATCGCCACACTCTGCCATGTGCCACTTTCAGGTCTCCTCACACACTGCTGGTGTGTTCCATTTTTTGTCATAGGGTGCTGGCAGATTACGGGCCTCCCATTGCTGCTGCCAGGCCTGTAATCTGCCATGGGCCCCCGTACCGCCTGGTCACGCTGCTGCTGGGTCCACAGTGTGACATGGGTCCTTGTACCGCCTCCCATTGCTCCCACTGCATGTGCCACTTTCAGGTCTCCTCACACTCCTGCTGGTTTCCATTTTGTCATAGGTTGCTGTATGGCCTCCCATTGCTGCTGCCTCCACCGCCACACTGTGGCTCCAAACACTGGTTTTGGCCCCGTGACTGCCCAAATGAGTGAAGTGTGCGGTGATTCTAAGATCGACGGCACTCATCTGCATGTCATACTGAGTGACAGTATTATTTCTCTTCCCCAGCAGACTCCAAGGGCATTTAAATTAAAGGTACAGTGTTCTGCACTAATATTAAGTCTCTCTGAAGCCTAGAAACACGCTTTTTTAAGTTAAATTCACAGCGAATTTATTCGACTCGAATCGAATATTGTCCACGAATTCGCCGAATCAGTCGAATCGAATTTTTCATTTCTTCGCTCATCTCTAGTAGTCTTATATGGCGAATATAGCCCAAACCCTATATTTTAACAGGAAAAGTAGGGGGTCATCTTATACGCCGGAAAATACGGTATATACAGCTTTTTTCAAGATGTATTTGCCTTCTGTGTAAGGATATTGTTACCCACCATTCCATTGTCTTTGTCTATTATAACATTCTTTTTTTCACATGGCAATGCAACTTCAGTGTAATTTACTTTCTTTACTCATGTTGCTACAGAGTGCTATGTACGCTGTGTATGTTTTGGAAAATCTTTAATAAAAAGTTATTTATAAAATATACAAATTTAATGAAATGACCCAAACCTTCATATTGTAGTGCATCTAAAGAATTATTAATAGGATTGCTTAAACTTTACCTATAATATACTGATTTCTATTTCTATTTTCTTAGGGGTTTGCCTATATGGCTAGAGTACCTGGCCTAACAAGGCTAAGCTGGCGGCTGGACAGAATGATTTTTTATCATCTTACCACAGTTCCAGCATGTGTTCGTTTTTTATACACTTCATTCATAAAAGGGTTTCAGGAATGGTAGGCATGATAAATATGGAATAATGAGCATGAGCATGGTGGAATACAGCTCTGCTATGGACTTTATACATAGTAGCTGAACTATAAACAGTAATAATGTCTAGTTGTCAGTGATTCATACAGTACCTGATCAGAGAATTCTTCTCCATATCTCAGATTAGTTGCAAAGTGTTCACAGTTGGCGCTAGTGAGGGAATACTCCATTTTTCTCCCTTCTTCTTTTAATGCCGCGTTAACAATTTTTCCAGCTGGATAAGGGGAGCGTTTGCTGTCATACTTGTTATTCACTCTATACTTGCATCCGCAGGCGGCAAACTCCAAACGATCCTTTTTCACCACAGCTGTTCCTTTTAATGCAGAAGATGCGGTGGAGCAGCCTGCTTGATCTGAATAGAAGGGGTAGAGGAGATATGTAAGTTGTGGAGCAGATGGAGTTAGTAAGTTTAGCACTCCTACCTACTTTGGTTTATGGATAAAAGGGCTTTCTGTAGAATTTAGGAGCCATGTAAAGACCATTGAAACCAAAGAAACTTCATCAACTCCCCCTCCCCCCAACTTTTTTTTTCATCCAGTCTTACCAGTTGTGCAGGGTTTTCTTCGGGGCATTGTCCTGCTGCTTCACTGCTACAGGCTAAGTCTTGCACTACCATCTTTCCTTCCTATATCATCAGCTTGGTGTCATTTTTTCAGCCAGTGAAAAGTTGTTCAGTAAAAATGATCCAGGCTAGTCTACAGATGCCCAATAGCTTTTCAGGTAGTGAGTATCTATTTACTCAACACAACCTCAATTTTTCCTTTTTACCTCAAAAATTGGGTATAATATTGTGTTCGTCTGCACTAAAATTCATTTTAGTGTATTTTTTTTAATGAAAATATGTGTTTGATAAATAGCTGTGCGAATATTGTTTGATATGAAAAAGAGCAACTGCTTCCATTTTGTTCTCCAGTACCCTGCTTTCAGAAAACATATAATGTTAGGGGGTTCCAAGTAATTTTTATTGTCAAAAAAATGCTGATTTTACTTGCATGAAATGGTGACATTTTGCCAAAACCTCACAATTTGTGATAACATTTCATTCATCCTAATAACTACAGTGTATCCTTGCACAACAGACTTGCTATTTGTATGCTTACTCCATATGACCAATTTACTCTTAACTGCCTTATCTTAAAACTTTAGTAACTAAAGCTGCCCATACATTATACAATTTTCTTGTTCAATTTCCTTTAGATTTACCTTCAACAATATAGTGCAAAGGCCGGCCTGATTGCATACAAATTGAAAGTGTTTAAGTTTGATCTCATATTATATGGTTTTGGTAAATCTAAAGGAAAATTATACAAGAAAGTTGTATAATGTATGGCCAGCCTTATTAAAACTAACGTAAATACTGCTTCACCTTGTCTGTGTAGGTTCTCATGTAATTTATCACAGTCAGATGGACTTGTTCTGTAATGTATCACGGCCCTTGAAAACCACTTCTTCAGTCCTAATGAGTGTCAGGAACATACCCCATCATTTGGGGCTGCTGTGAGTAATCACAGGGCCCCATACAGACTACATGACAGGTCCCCTACCCCCAAAAAAATATCAATTTATATTTTCACTAAAGTTCCACAGTTGCAATGCTATGCTTTGCAGCCATGGCAGAAATTATTCCGTCGCTACTGCTGCCGCCTGACACCCGTTTTTTTTTTTTTTTTTTTACTTTTTACAATTTTACTTTGCAAGACCGCACTGCAACTTGGCTCACAGCTGCAGAGCATCCATATTGAAATTAATAGGGAGTTTGATAGATGAGGCTGCCTGTCAAACTCTGAAGCCTGCGTTTAAAATACTGAAGCTGTGAAGTAAATTTACATGTATACAGCCCTATCTGACTGTATTGTTAGGATTTGGGTGAGCAGCCAGGGATAGTGGTAAATCCACATTTCAGCCGCCCACATTAAAGAGCCTTTAGGCCGCATTCACACTTGGCATTTCCTGAACATGTGACAAAGTATACAGGAAAGTGCATTTTGCACTGCAATTCAAAAACGCACTGCAAATGCGCATAGTGCATTGTGAATGAGCTGCCCTATGTGAGAAAAAAAATGTGAGCAGGAATGAATGTCCCGCTATGCGAAGTGTGAACGGGGCCGTAGGGCTGGCATATAGAAATGGCTGGGCAGAGATGTCTATCAGCTGAAGAGACAGGTGTATTCACTGGCCCCTAGCTCCAGCACTGCAGTGGCTGATGTATTTATACATGTTGATCATATCCCCCCCTTAATCTCCACTTCTCAAGAGAAAATAAATTCAGTTCCTCTAATGTTTCCTATATGGCTGGAGAGTAATCAGAGTCAGGTCAGGAACAAGCCGGGTCAGCAACAAGGAAATCACACAGGAACGAGCAGGAAACGGGGAACAGCTGAAGACCAGTCAGCACTCAGCACAGGCAGAGGCGCATTTTAAATAGTCCGTCTGGCGCCAATCTTCACCATGCGTGTACACGTGCGTGTGCGTGATCCTGCATTTCTGTGCGCATGCACACGTCTATTCACCAGCCGTCTCACGGGAATTCCCTTACACTGTCCAAGGTTTTGCTCACCTCCTCAATAAAAAAAATCAGATTTGTTTGACAACTTTTGTCTTTTATGAATCTATGCTGTCTGTTGCTTACAATATTTTTTTCCAGCAAGAACTCATCTATGTGGTCTTTTATTAAACTCTCCAGTATCTTCCCAACTATAGAAGTTAAACCAACAGGTCTATAATTACTTGGTAAAGATTTTGACCCCTTTTTAAATATTGGCACCACATTGGCCTTACGCCAATCCAGTGGTACTATGCCAGTCATTAAAGAGTCCCTAAAAATTAGAAACAATTGCTTTCAAATGACAGAGCTCAATTCTTTAAGGACCCGTGGGTGTATGCCATCCCGGTCCAGGTGCTTTATTCATCTTTATTCTGTCTAAATATCAATTGTGAGCCAATGTGGATCATCTAGAGCTGTGTCAATACCATGCCCATTATGGACAAGAGCTCCCCCATGCTCCTTTGTCTACACAGAGCTGAAGGTATTTAATAAACTTGCCTTCTCTTTGTCCCCAGTCACCCACTCTAGATTATTTTGTAAAGGGCCTACATGCTCAGATCTGACCATTTTACTATTAATATATTTGAAGAATTTCTGGGGGTTTGTCCTGCTATCTTTTGCAATATGTCATTCGTTTTCAATTTTTGTGGCCTTTATTTCCTTTTTGCATATTCTGTTATATTCTTTGTAATATTTTAAATGATGATAGTGTTCCTTCATTTTTTATATTTAATAAAAGCTTATTATCTATAGCTTTTTTTAACTTTGGCCGTAAGCCACATAGGTTTAGCCTTTTAAACCTATTGCCCATGGGAATATATTTTGCAGTGTGTTCACATTTCTGTGTTGTGTTCATTGATGCCAATATTCCCTCCCAGTCTATGTCTTGGAGAGCAGCTCTGAGCCTTCGAAAATTAGCTCTCTTAAAGTTGATCATTTTTATTTTTCCAGTATGTGCGTGTTGTTTACAGCTAACAATAAATAAAATCATCTTATGGTCACTGCTACCCAGATGTTCTTTTATATGGACATTCATAATAAGCTCAGCATGGTTTGAGATAACCAGGTCAAGCAGAGCATCATTACTAGTTGGGGCCTCTATGAACTGTACCATAAATTTGTCCTATAGTAGGTTTATAAATGTTTGCTCTTTAACTGTTCCTGCAGTACCATTACTCCAGTCAATTTCTGGGTAGTTAAAATACCATATTATTATCACTGTCCCAGCCCTTGAAGCTCCTTCGTCCTGTGCAAGGAGATGAGTTTCCACCTCCTCATTAACACTAGAACCCCTTTAACAAACACCAATTATTACCTTTGTAGTACGCACCCCCATGTGCAGTTCCACCCATAATGCTTTAGCCTCATCACACTCTCCATCAACTAGATCCTCTTTCACACTCGCTCTGAGATCACTTCTCACACAGAGGCAGACACCACCGCCTTTCCTTTTTACCCTGTCTCTTCAAAAAAGAACATAACCAGGAATATTAATGGCCCAGTCATGTGAAGAATGAATCCAAGATTCAGCAGTACCAATTTTCTTTCCTTCCACCCATGGTGAAAGGAAAGAAAATTGCATAATCTATGGCCTGCTTAAGAGATAGGCTTGGATAGGCTGTTAAATGTCTTCAACATTACAGAACACGTCCAGTTGAATATGATAAATTACTACTAAACATCATCACCGTATTGAGTTATCCATTTGACATTTCACTCTGTAAAGTGAACATATTCTTGTTCTTTAGCATGTCAAACCTAATGTATGTAGAGATAGACCTGAATGTATATTGCTATAGTGCTACAGGACAATTGTCAAAAAAATATTATCCATTAATAAATACTTATTTGCATACCAAAAAACATTGGGGTTTATTTACTAAAATTGGAGCATGCAAAATCTGGTGCAGCTTCCAAGTTTTATTGTCAATGCTTAATTGAACAAGCTGAAGTTAAAAGCTGATTGGCCTCCATCAAGGCCGGTACTAGACTTATTTACACCCTAGCCAAGACCAGCTACTTGCACCCCCCCCCCCCCAAAATAAACTGCAACATTTTTAAAGACAGTAGAAAATATTAAAACAGCCTGTAGCTAGGGTCACACGGTGACCAGCACAAATCCCTTTCCAAATCATTCCTCCTAGAAGAAATCTTACTCCTGTCCCAAATTGCCTCTCTCAGAACAAATTCTCCTTCCTAGAACAAATTTTACTTCTGTGTGCCCCCAAGTTCCCCCACCCAGCACAAACCCCTCCCAAAAAAAAAAAAATTATCCTCCTACAACAAATCCTATCCCTGTTATCCCCAAATTCCCCTTTTCCAGTACAAATACCCCTACCTAGAATTAATCATCGTCTCCTTTCCCCCTATTAGCACACTCTTATCCCCAGCACAAATACTTTTACTATGTGCACCCCAAGGTCCCCAATACAGTCCTCCCCAGTCATCAACACACATCCCTCAGCTGCAGGTCTGCCTCCCAGCTCCTCCGAACTTTGCGGGCAGTCTCCTGGTTCCTCCTCCTCACCTTGCGGACTGTCTCCCGGCTCCTTCTCACCTTATGGGCTGTCTCCTGGATCCTCCTCACCTTGCAGGCTGTCTCCGAGCTCCTCCTCACCTTGCAGGCCATCTCCTGGCTCCTCCTCCTCACCTTGCAGGCTGTCTCCCGGCTCCTCCTCCTCACCTTGCAGGCTGTCTCCCAACTCTTCCTCACCTTGCTGGCTATCTCCTGGCTCCTCCTCACCTTGCAGAATATCTCCTGGCTCCTCCTCACCTTGCAGGATATCTCCTGGCTCCTCTTTAGCTTGCGGGCTGCCAGGCACAGGGACCCACACTAGCGATAGCACTGGCTGTCAGATCGGGACTGTGCAGGGTATGTTTACCCAGCCCCTAACCACATTCTTTGTCTGACAATCTCGATCAGGAGCACTGCAGTGGCACAAGTGTGGAGCTAAAGGAGAGAGATCACAGCCTACTTCCAGCTCTCTCTTCCTTTATAGATTTGGTCTGTCACTTTCTGTGCTAACAGGAGTCACTACTCCTGTCAGCTTGTAGTATCAGGAGCTCTCATCAAGGCACCCCCATCTCCCTTGTCCTGGCCCTGGTTGCTCCATAGACGGCAGTGCGCCCTAGGCAGCTGCCTAGTCTGCCTAGCAGTAGCACCGGCCCTCCATACACAGCTACACCAGCTTTTGCACTCTCCAGTTTGAGTAAATCAACCCCACCATGTCTTTTGGAAACATATTCCAAATCTTAGAAATGATAAAGTGATTTGATTAAAATGACTTCACAAGGTTTACATAACTCCATTCAATTAAATTGGTTGTAAACCCTTACATATCCCCAGTGAAGTGACTGGGATTAGGTAATACACAGAGATGAAACAAAGCCTCCTACATAAGTTGTATCTGTCTATCTGCAGCCTTCTTTACTCTACATCCGTTCAAAGTGCTGAATTTTAAAGCTTGTCTAAAAGTTAAAAAAAAAATGGGGTGGAGAGCTGAAATTACATGCTGCAGAGTTCAGTGAGGAGAGCTCTGAGAAATAATTGGAAGAAAGGGACACCTTCCTACAAACAGCTCACATGAACAGAGCTGAGGCTGTCAATCAGCTGGAGGTCCCTCCTCTGTCATCATTTGTCTTTTGGTGTCAGGAAAACTTGTCAGAAGTGTTTCATGTAGATTGCAGAGGAACTAAGCAGCAGACAGAAATGACACTTCTGCTTTGTTCATATTTTATGTCTGAGATTTACAACCACTTTACTGTAAAATCAAACCTAATAAATCCATGTTCGGTTGCAGATCCAGAGGACAGGTGTTACAAAAGTTGCTAGCAGCTTGACTGGAATTTCAGTTCTTTAGACCTGAGTGAAATACTGACTTATCTACTAGACCTGATTAAAGGTGGTACTACTTCAAAATGTCTGTTTCATTACAGTGTTCATGCAGTGACTTCGGTCCTAGTAGACGGTCACCCCAACATAACTTTACCGAGCATGCAGCTTTATTAGGAAAATACTGTATACACCTTGGAAGATTAGGTTCTAGTCGTCCCATCAAGGCTTCCACACTTTACTACAGGTCATCAAATATGATGAGAGAAGATGGTTTTTAGAACTATGCTCATGTTACAGTTGTGTTCAAAATAATAGCAGTGTGTTGAAAAAAGTGAATAAAACTCAAACTCCTTCTAATAGCTTTTATTTCCATACACACAAATGCATTGGGAACACTACACATTCTATTCCAAATCAAAACATGAAGAAAAATATATCAAATTTGTGTTGTTCCTCTAAAAAAATTGAAGAAAAGTGAATATTAGACTGTTCAAAAAATAGCAGTGTTTGTATTCTTCTTTACAAACTCTAACATTCACTATATAAACTGAAAAATGTTTGAAGATTTTGCTTTCCTTTGAATCACTTAATGAATATTTTGTTGTATAAGCACTGTTTCTGAGAACTGCTGTACATCTGTGTTGCATGGAGTCAACCAACTTCTGGCACCTGTGAACCTATTCCAGCCCAGGATGATTGGACTACATTCCACAGTTCTTCTCTACTTCTTGGATTTGCCTCAGAAACTGCATTTTTTATGTCACCCCCACAAGTTTTCTATTGGATTAAGATCCGGGGATTGGGCTGGCCACTCCATAATGTCAATCTTGTTGGTCTGGAACCAAGATGTTGCACGTGTACTGGTGTGTTTGGGGTCGTTGTCTTGTTGGAACATCCATTTCAAGGGCATTTCCTCTTCAGCATAAGGCAGCATGACCTCTTCAAGTATTCTGATGTATTCAAACTGATCCATGATCCCTGGTATGCGATAAATAGGGCCCAACACCGTAGTATGAGAAACATCCCCATATCATGATGCTTGCGCAATCATGCTTCACTGTCTTCACAGTCTACTGTGGCTTGAATTCAGTGTTTGGGGGTAGTCTGACAAACTGTCTCCGGCCACTAGACCCAAAAAGAACAATCTTACTTTCATCAGTCCACAAAATGTTGCGCCATTTCTCTTTAGGCCAGTCAATGTGCTCTTTGGCAAATTGTAACCTTTTCAGCACGTCTTTTTTTCAACAGTGGGACTTTGCGGGGGCTTCTTGCAGATAGCTTGGCTTCACATAGGCGTCTTCTAATTGTAACAGTACTCACAGGGAACTTTACACCTTCTTTCATCTTCCTGGAGCTGATTGTTGGCTGAGTCCTTGCCATTTTGGCTATTCTTCCATCCATGGTAGTTTTTCGCTTTCTTCCACGTCTTTCAGGTTTTGGTTGCCATTTTAAAGCATTTGTGATCATTTTAGCTGAGCAGCCTATCATTTTCTGCACTTCTTTATATGTTTTCCCCTCTCCAATCAACTTTTTAATCAAGGTACGCTGTTCTTCTGAACAATGTCTGGAACGACCCATTTTCCTCAGAATTTCAGAGAGAAATGCACTGTAACCAGCATGTACAACATTTGCTGCCTTCCTTCCTTAAAAAAGGGCAATAATTGCCACCTGTTTTTCAAAGAATGAATGACCTCACTAATAGAACTCCACACTGCTATTATTTTGAACATGCCCCTTTCAATTAGTGATTCAATTACACAGAATCAGCAGCATGCATGTCATGACTGTTGGGTCTGTTGGATTTCTATTACTCTACTACACCTGCTAGTAAATTATTTGCCATGTAGAAATATCGTTTTCTACCAAAAACAGTGATTGATCAGGTTAGTGATGTCTGACTGCTATTATTTTGAACACAACTGTATACCACCTTAGGTTTGGTTCCAGTTGAGCTCTGGAAGGATTATGAAGCTATTTTTATATTTGCAGACAGTAACTACTATAAAAAAAGAACTGGTGAGGAGAAAAACATAGGAGGTGCCAACACTAATTTGATTTTAAATATGCAGGCTGCAAGGTTGTCGTTTGTTAATTTTTATTGCTCTACACAGGATCCTGTTGAAAGACATTCTGCCTCATTGTTTCTACCTTTGGCAGCAGGACAAGAAATCAGTAGGGTGAAGAAATTTCAAAGAGCCTAGAGGGCACCAATGTAACCCCATGGGACTGCAACAACCCTCTAGAAGTTTCTCTCCCTGTTCCCCTTCTTTTTTTTTCTCCACAGGTAATTGAAACATTCTGGAATGGTTTGGTTGGTTGAAATATATGCATCACTTGTAGTTCCATGGTTATCAAAGGCAGTAAGACAGACAGTTATGATAACCAGAGAAAGGTTCTTACCCTTCCAAATATAAAAAAATAATAGTTACAGACTATGTCTGAACTAAAAAATATTAGCTATCACTGTCCCTATATAAAGTGAAGAAAGACCTCTCCAATGGGGACACAGACAAAACATGATAAAATCTCTAGCCCTTCTTTTCAAATCTTAAAAAAAGGTTTTGCCTGTAGTTAGGCCTTAAAAAGTAACAGATTTACAAAAAATGTATATTAACAATAATAAATGTACAATGTATGAGAAAATACTGTTAAAAAAGGGGGTCTCCAAACTTTCCGAAGAAAGGACCAGTTTACTGTCCTTCAGACTTTAGTGAGGTTGGTTATGCCCAGTGGAAGTAAGCAATGCCTGATCTTTGGTATCAGAGGAAGAAAAAGTTGGTGCCCCATTGTTGGTGTCAGTGGCAGGAATAATGCCTCAAGGTCCAAAGGCAAGCAAAGAGTCACAGTTTGGAGACCACTGGTTTAGAACATTCATAGTAAAAAAAGTGAAAGATCAGATCTGTATATTTATGTATCCTCACCTGTTAAATGTACAACATATCCATCTCCAACATATACACCCCAATGCTGATAGCCTGTGCGATAAAATTCTATCAAATCTCCTGGCTTTGGCTCTGGTCCCTGTGAAAGTTTTGAAGTATGTTAGATTGTTTTAAATCTTAGAGGTATGCAATATTAGACAAACTGAAGAAATTCCTTGACTTTTCTATGGTTTCATGCTATAACCACTAATTTTAAATATACATTAACAACATTAACAGGAGAGAAGCAATAGTCTCCAGAACTTGCAGCTGATCTGATTCCTATGGAGTTTTCCTGGATTTCCCAGCTACACTGACCGCCAATGCCAAAGAAACAATTTTCCCACTAACCATCAATGTAGAGGGGTCATTAATCACTTAGAGGAAACCACCATTTTTACTGTTTGCGTTTCTTTGCTATGATTATTATTTTTTATTTAATTTCAAGATTATTGTTATAAATAATTTTAATCCATAGAGAAAAGGCGTGTTAAGTGATCCACCCTGGGTGCTGTAAGGAATTATGTCTTTTTTAACCTCTTGGCATCGGCTTCAAATTGGTTTCAGAAGCCAGGAGGCGGGGCTGGGTTTTAGGGTCATGTGACCGCCGTTATTCGCTGTCACATGATTGGAAAAGGTCCTGATCGAAAGGGGAGATCGGGACCTTTCCAGGAGTCGTGGACATATGTGCTGGGAGCGCGCAGTGCACGCGCTCTCAGCGCATTTGTATTTTCTAATTGCACGCAAATATGCGGCTGCCCGGTGTCAAGGCCCAGACACCGAGAGGCCGCATATTTGCGTGTGAGTGGCGTCAAGGTTAACTGCCATCTATTTTGTATAATGCCTCCATTTTTAGATGTGTAAACAGTTAGTTTTGAGTTTTACTCGGAACTTCTCTCTCGTTTCCTGAGTTTAGTTTCTTTTTTCTGTAAACGGATTCACCTTATATGGTACTCATCAGCCATTTGTAATTTCTATCTACTTTGATAAGAATATAATATTTCATTGGTCATTCTGGCCTAACAACGCCTATAGAGTTCTTGTATAATACGGCTCGTCCACATTAAAACTTTCAGATATTTCGCTTTCACACTTCAGTGTCTGAAGCTTTATTTCTCCTGGGCCTGGTGGTGAAAAAATAATCGAGGACAAGTTGGGCTACAGACAGGAATTGATCCGATCAGGTGCCGAATACACCGGGTACTCCAAATCATTTATTATGTTATTTAAGCCTTCCTACAATTTTCTGTTCATGCTAGAACAGTAAATGTATTTTTACAGGGGTTCCCTAAGGCTTAACTCTCTTTAAGGGCTCTGAGGTATAAAAAAAAAGGTTACACAATCATAAGGGAATGTTGTGTTTAAGAGTACGGAAGTAATTGATGATTTGATTCAGTTACAAGGGTTTTCTTGTCACAAATATGCTGAGATTAACAGAAAATATCAGGGGAAACTGATACTTACAATCAAAGGCATGTCTCGTGACTTCCAGTATCTTTTTGTTCACTTCTACCAAAAGAAGGTCAGAGAATGTATAATTGTAACAAGTGTCTATAAAAACGTTCATACCTCAATAATAAGTTATGCATTTGCTCTATTTTCTCATGAGTGTTTTTTTTTTTTTTTTTTATACAGCCCTCGCAGTTGAAGCAAAACCAAAGCAAACATTTATTATATTGCAGCTGACCAGTTCTTAGATGTGATGGCTGCATTACATTTCCCTTTTTAGGCTTTCTTTCTCTGATTTTCACCTATTGATCTGGCCAGTAAGTCTGTTGTTTTTCAAAAGCTCATGCTCTCCAGCAGAATGTATCAGTTACAGGAATAAGACATGTCATTTACCAATGAAATAGCGCTTACAATGATCAGCTTTTATCTATTCAAGTAAAACCTTTATCCCAAAAGGAAAAAAAAAAACTGTTTGATGTAACATTATAAAGTGTTAGCTGGAGTTTGGCTTCATTTTGTTAGTGCATCTAAATCTGCTAGTACAGCTAACTCTTCCCTCTCCCTTGACTGATAATGCTGCTGTCCATATGTGCCCCCTGTGCTCCTTCATCCAGAGTGGGGGCACTCGGGGGCGTCCCTAGGCAGGTGCGGGGGGGGTGACATCGGACCCACTCGACCAGGGGCAGACTGACCAAGAGCCAAGGGTCACTACAGGGTCCCATGAGAGGATCAGTCCATCCCTGAATGTGCCGCTGCTGAAATAAGCAAGCATTGAGGGGACTGACAGTGAGGCAGGCACTTCGGACACCTCTCCTCCTCGGAGTTTCAGCAGAGAGGCGGGTTCACATCCCTCCCACAGGCACTGAAGTCGGAGAGCTGGAGGGGCGGGCAGAGAGCATGCAGCAGGTCAGTGTAATACCCCGACCCTGGTGACAGCACTGCAGCTTCATATAGTAGGTGGGGGGGAAGAGGGCAGAGAGGGGGTGGAGAAAGAGGGCAAAGAGAGGGGTTGAGAAAGAGGGCAGGGGGGGAGAAAGAGGGCAGAGAGGGGGGGGGGGAAGAGGGCAGAGAGGGGGGGAGAAAGAGGGCAGAGAGAGGGGGGGGAGAAAGAGGGCAGGGGGGGGGGAAGAGGGCAGAGAGGGGGGGGAGAAAGAGGGCAGAGAGAGAGAGGGGGTGTCACTAAGTGTTCCGGCTCTGGGTGACACCAACCCTAGGGATGCCCCTAGGGGCACTGTAATACATGAGGTGTGTTACTGGCCAGATCACCAGATGAAAACAGTGGGACAAAGCCTAAAAAGCCTAAAAGATAAAACTAATGCAGCCACCACATCTAATGATTGGTAAGCTGCGGTGCACTGAGGCAAAAGAGGGAGTGGGTACCTGTCAAAACCTGGTATCGACTCCCCTTCCCCCCCCCACCCTCCCAAAAATTAAAAAGTACCAAATGTGGTAGTGGACTTTTGGTTGGAACTCCACTTTAAGCTTTAAACTGTGTTAAACTACAAACATTAATAGAGCCTCAACATATAAAAAAAATTGCTCTGTTCCCATCATAAAGCTGCATTAGGCTGCATTCACACTTGAGCATAGTGCATTTGAGCATTGCTTGCACAATTTGTTTGCACAATGTTGAGCATTTTCATACAGGTTTTTTTGGCATTTTTAAATAGCCAATAGGCTAATAAAGGTATTATTTTACTAAAGAAAAATATCTGTTTCATCATGTGTTGCTAGGTTTGTCAGCTTTTTTTTTTAGCTTTTCCATCAGCTTTTTATCTTTTTTTATTATTATTCATTTATGATTTTTTTTTTGTTGGGGTAAGGGGTTAGAGTTAAAGTTAGATTAAGGTTAGGATTAGGGGTTATGATTTGGGCTAGGGGTTAATATTTTATTTGTTTTCTTCTTTTTTATGTATTTATAATTAATTTTTTTTGTTAGGGTAGTAATAATAATAATTAAAATAATAAATAAATGTAAAATAAATACACAAATAAATAAAAATAATCAAAAAATAAATAAATATAATAAATTAATAGTATGTAATAATAAACAAATAATAAATTAACTCCTAACCTTAACCCCTAACTCTTTAACACAAATTAATTAATTAATAATAATAAAAATAATAATAATAACAAATAAACACCCTAATACTAACACATAATAAATACATTTGTTATTTAGTACTATTATTATTATCATTAATAATATTAATAATAATAATTTACTTTTTGTTCAGATTTGGGGTATTATATTATATATATATATTTATATATATATTGTAATAATAATAATAATTACATTATTTTTTTTTTAGGGTTAGTGGATTAAGGTTAGGGGTTAATTATAATTTATATATTATTACATATTATTTGTTTAAATTTATTTTTTTATTTATGATGACTTTATTTGTATATTTATTTCACATTTATTTATTCATATATCATTACTTTTTTTTAATTTGAGCAGAAAATTACGCAAAAACATGCAAACCATGTGTTTCCATTTATTTTTTATGGGAATAAAAATTGCGTAAATCTGCCCAATTAGAGCTACAAAAAAGTTCCAGAACTTGTTTGAGCTTCAGCTGTTTGGCTTCAGGCGACTTGGAGTGGAGATGAGAACCATATTCATTGAGAATAATTGATTTTTGCTCTTCAAGTGTTTTGGAGCTTCCTGAGCTACAAAATGCTCAGGTGTGAATGAGGCCTCAAGGTGGGTTGCAGACACTGCATTCAAATGCAGACATGACAAAAATGGACAGCACAATGTCTATAAAGTTAGCACTTCTGCCTAGTAAGCACTAATGTCATCAATTCAAATCCTAGCCATGGTATCTGCCTGGCATTTGTATGTTCTCCATGTGCCTGCGTGGGTTTTCTCTGGGTATTCCAGTTTCCTCCCACACATCAAAGACACGCTGGTAATCAAACTGGCCCTAGTATGTGTATGTATGAAGGTGATTTAGGGACCTTAGATTGTAAGCTCCTTGAGCACAGCGACTATTGTGAATGTACAATATACTGTATATGTAAACCATTGTGCAAATTGATACTGCTATATAAGTACCTGTAATGATAATAAAAAATACATTAAGAGAAAAGGTTGACAGTGTGATACATTGTAACAATGCATTGCACTGCTCCTAGGTAACAGACACCAAGCTGAATGGTTTTGGCATTAACAATAGTTCAGAAGAAAACTGAAAGGAAGCCTGTTAACCAGCTATTACATCAACAGGATGGGTGGGGAGGCTGTATTTTTTTATTTAACTTGGCATGCTGCCGGACCTGACCAATAATAGTCTATGCATTAACTAACACTAATGTAATTATATCTGCCTAAAAGCATATTTAATAATCAGGCCCTGCATTGGTCAATATATAAAGAAAGAAAGAGGGAAAGAAGGAAAGAAGGAAAGAAAGAAAGAAGGAAAGAAGAAAGAAAAAGAAAGAAAGAAAGAAAGAAGAAAGAAAGAAAGAAAAGAAAAGAAAGAAAGAAGAAAGAAAGAAAGAAAGAAAGAAAGAAAGAAAGAGGAGGGAAAGAAGGAAAGGAGGGAAAGAAGGAAGGGGGGAAAGAAGGAAGGTGGGAAAGAAGGAAGGTGGGAAAGAAGGAAGAAGGAGGGAAAGAAGGAGGGAAAGAAGGAGGGAGAGAAAGAGAAG